AGCCAGACCTTGTGCCCACCCAGGCAGCCCCCACTTCCCCCAGGGAAGCAGCAAGCGCCAAGTGATGGAAGCAGAGAAATCTCAGGGCAAATGTGCAGGGAGATGCCTTAAACCTCCCATGAGCAGCTGCAAATTAAGGAAATATTTCAAATTATATGACGATGAAGGAATAAAGAGCAGGTGTGGGGACTCCTAGGAAGCCCCAGCAGAAAGGAGACCTCTGGAGACAGGGTGATTTCAGGGAGGGAGATGGAGACAGCAGCAAGCAGAAGAGAAGCTGAGAGCAAGGGTAAGAAAAATCCAAGCATTGATTAGGTGCCTGAAAGGTGGCAGATGAGAAGAAAGGAAAGATAATAGCTTGCTTTAAAAATAGCAGGCCCAAACAAATCCCATGAAATAGCCTGGGCAGGTCAAGCCCTCCCTCTCATACACAAAGAGCACAACAGGGCAGCAGGGGCAAGAGATCACATCCCTTCTGCTTGCAGGGAAGAGCAGGGTCCTACCCTGCCCCAGCAGGTAATTAGGAAACAGCTTCTCTTCCAGCCAGTGATGGAGGGAGGCAGAATATTAGTGCTTTTTTTTTAATGGTTTTTGGCCTCAAAATGACATCATCTGGTTGGTATTAGTGGCTCTTTTAAAAGAGCCAGTTGCAGCCTCTGAGCTGATAACATTGATTTGTATTTTCTAGACAGGTTTTTAAACCCCCAGGATGCTGCAGGGGAGTGGGAAGCAATGGGGTTTGGGGTGGAATCAGAGGAGAGACAGGTTAGACAGGGAGAGAAGGAGTGTGGGAAATGGCTGATAAAAGATGTAATCAGTGCAAAGTTAAAATCTAATTAATAATGAACAGTAATCTAATTCATCTCCGTAATTAAGAAGTGCAACTACTAATTGAAAATAATTACATTTTAATCTAAAATCATTAAAATAATCAAACGTTAACAAAAGAAAAGGCAGCCCCTGGGAAGGTGCAGGAGGTGTAGCTGATGCCCTGATCCCAGGGTCTCCTCACCAAAGCTGCTTCACAGCTCCTGTGGTGTGTGCCTAGCCCCAAATCCATGAGGATGTCCCTGCCTTGTGCCTTCACTGCCAGAAGGGAGCAGATAGGAAAGGCACATGGTACAGAGAGGTGGAAATCAAGCTTTGCACTAGGATATGAGCAACCAGATCTCTGGGGGGGGGTTACAACCCCTTAATTCCCTTCCACACGTGGGGGACCAGCCCTGCTGATTTCCAAGAGATGGGGGAGGCTCCCACACTCCAGGGCTCTGACAAGCTCCCGTCTGGGGCTGCCACCCAGCCCCCTCTGCAGCCGTGGGTCATGATGGCTGCCAATGCTCAGCTTTTCCCCATCCCATCCCATCCCATCCCATCCCATCCCATCCCATCCCATCCCATCCCATCCCATCCCATCCCATCCCATCCCATCCCAGCAGATCCAGTTTTGCCTGTTCCTTCAGAGCCTTGGCTGCCATGGGTTTCAAGCAGGCAGGTTCACCTGACCCAGATGAGCTGGTTCCCTAAAGCCTGGGCAGGCAAACCAGCAAAACCCAGTGATGGTCCCACTGACCAGCTGCAATTGTCCTCCTTAGCTGAGCAAAGCGTGAGGTGCAGCTGGATCAGACCTCTGGCTAATGGAGCAAACTTGCATATTCATACCTCTCCAGATGCAACAGCCTGGATGGCCTTACCCCCCAGGCACGACAGGCTCACAGGGCACAGTGAGCCCACTCCCATCTCACCCAAGGAACTGAAGTCCGTCCCACAAGGCTCAGGCATGATGCCCCATTACCATCCCCAAGACCACATGGAGCACAAGCTGTCCCAGGGATACTCCTGCTGCACCCTCTGTTTCACCCTGCCCTCCTGCTCTGCTTCTCCCGCCTGTAAAATACGTATGCAAGTCTGTAAATTCCCAGGATGACATGAGGGATAAAGGAAAGCACCTTACCTGGAGCTGAAAAAGACAAGTGGCCTCCTCGATGCCTGGCTGGCAGCTACCAGGGCTCTAGGTATTTGAGTGTTGTGGTCTCCTCCCCAGTCCCACTTTTGGAGCAGAAAAACTGGCTCTGCCACCTGCCACGGACAGCACATGACAGCGGAAACATGAGCAGTCCCATTGGTACCCACGGGAAGCATTGCCTCCAGCACAGGCAGGAGCTGAAAGACCTTGCAGCAAGCAAGTCACGGCAGCTCTGGAGGCTGCAGACAACCACGGGGACCAGCCCTGGGACCAGGGAGGGCACTGGGGACTCTGTCTGGGGATGTGCTATGGCCAGGGCCCTGCTGAAAGTACAGAAAAGGGACTTTGAGGTTGTCCTTAAAACCACGGTGAGAGGGACCTCCAGCAGGTCCTTGCTCCCTCTGGGTGGGAGGTGTCAGGTGACTCAAGCAGATTAAGGCAAGGCCAGACCAGGCAGAGCTCAGCACTCCCAGCTCCCTCCAGTGCTTGTCCTTGCTGCTGGCTTTCACTCCAACATATCATTAAGTAAATACCTGTCAGCAGAGAGCAGTTACCAGCAGGTCTAAACACTTGCATAATGTGCTCTCCCTCTAATGCAATGCCCTCATTTCTAACAGCGCCAGTACGGGATAATAACAGTAACAATAATGTCAGAAAGGCCTTGTGTACCCAGCTAATTTGTTTTCTCCACCTAATCAGAAGTATTACCTCTCCCGTAAGATTTGCCCCATTTAACACCTTCAACTCTACAACAAAGTTGCTCCTGCAGTCATTTGACTTTCATTTACAGTAATTGCAGTGTGGAGCCCCCTCCCAGCAATGAGACTAACCCTGGGTAACCCATGCAGGGAGCAAGCAGCTGTACAGAAGTCACTTGTTCCAAAAACCTGGCTATGTCTGCCCAAGGCCTCCCCCACAGCCTGTACCAGCCCCAACCTCAGAGCAAGAGTCCCCTTAGCAGCTTTAGATCAGAAGTGAGGGATGGGTTTTAACATCAAAGGTGGATAAATCCTGGAGCAGCTCAGCAAGCCGGTAGCAGAGTCCCTGTTGCTGCCCATTTTACAATCAATAGATGTGGTGCTCTTACAGAGATGCTCCAGCTCACACACAAATCATTCAGGGCACTCCTGCCGGCAGCACTCAGTCTTGGGATAAACAATGGCAGCAATCCCACCTGTCCTGGCAGGACACAGCCACCAGGTCAGTGCAGCCAGGGAATGTGGGGGCTCGGTGGAGATGTGCACATGGAGCACAGTGCAGGACCATGGAATAGATCCAGGGAGGATGCTTGGTATTGGGACTGGCACTGGCATCCAACCCACACCTCTGAGCAGCTCCTGCTCCTCAGGAAGATCCTCCCCCACTAATACCAAACTCAAGCTTATTTTTAACTGGTGACCTCATTGCTCATTCCCTGCCAGGCCCAGCTGGGCTCTCAGTACTCTGATGTCCCCAGCATCCCCCAGTCAGAGGAGCCCAAGGGACAGCCCTGCCATCACTTCCTGGCCATGGGGACACAAAGCATCACCCAGGGACCCCCCTGACCATCCAGCCAGGCTGGAGCCACCAGCATGTCCCAGCACAGGAGTGGCTGTCACCCCCCAGCAGAGTGGCAGCCACAGACATCCACAGGCCCACAGACCACACAGGCTCTGCTCTCACCCTGCAGCAGGCACAAAGCTGCCCTTGAAGGAGGGAAAGCAACCTGCCAGCCAGCACCCAAAACACCAGTGTGTGGCCACCTCCAAACTGCTGTCACAGTGCTGAGCTGCAAGGGACAAGGAAACTCCCAGAAAACATGAATTAGCACCGTACAGGCCACTTATGTCCTCTATTTCTGTGCCAAGGAGCCTTTGGCTACGGAACACCAATCTCTGCTTAAATCACATGATCACAGACCACTGTTTATTTAGGATCCAGTGTACACACCTGAGAAGGAAATGCCAGAGCTCTCCCCTTCCTGCCTCTGAGTCAGGCCATGTAGTTTGTGCTGTGGGTGACCTGGGACAGTTGTCCCCTTGGTCACAGCCACCAGTGGCAACATAGGTGCTGCTTCTTCCAAACAAGGACAAACTGCTCATCCTGTCACAGGTTCTGCTGCTACTGAACATTCATGTTTTAATAATGGAAAATGAGTCGCTGGGAAGGTGGTTGGGCAAGGACTGGGAGCACGTCTCGAAGCCCATGGGCAAGACCAAGCCTTTTTTATGTTTTCAACCTTTCCACAGCAGCTGCCAGGAAGCAGCTTTTACAGCTGCAATGACAGAATCTCTCCCAAGGAAAAAAAATAATTGTGGGAGGCTTTTTTTTTTTTCTCCTCCAAGTCACTGCCAGCATCTTAGCTGACTCTTATCTATTCTCAGCCACCTCTCACCTCCCCAAACACTACCAGAAGTGCTCAAATTACTGTCAGCTCTCATTAGGTTCACGAGCAAGGCAAGGCCAAGCAGTAAGACCTCCAGACAGTTGGATGCTGAATTCTGATGAATCCTTTGGGTAGGAAGGTTTCAGCAACTGTGGAACTGTTTTTGTTGGCTGTCTATTGCAGCCTTTGCACTGGCACACAAATGAAGCTGGTGCATGCTTGATTATTGGCTGCTATAACAAAATCCAGGTGGGTACATGACTGAAAGAATTACTGTCTGCATCTTAAAAGAACAATCACTTCATTTCCTTTAATTATTAAACTACTCTGCACTAACGCACTGCAGGTGAGTAGACTTTATCTGCAAGAAAAACAGCTGCTGCTTCATAAAAACCCCATTACCTTTATTTCTTCTCTTCTGACATTTCTGTAAATTTTGGCTTTGTGGCAGGAGCAAAGCTGCCATTTTGCACTGATGCAGGAACTGGGAGTTCATCTGTGGGAGCCCTCTTTCCCAGGAGGCAATACCCTGCCATGAGAAAAGCCCCAGCTGTCCTGACCCCACAGCTGCACCCAGCCCTGCCCCACAAACAGTCAGAGCTGAGAAAAAACCCACTGTTCTTTCATTTCATTCATGCCCACTGCTACCTTGATAGCTTTAAACTGAAACAGTTGTCAAAACAAATCCTTTATTTAATAATGCTATCAACCAAAAGAAGAAAAAAATACAGAGTTTATTGTAGTGCAGATTTTTTTACCCCAGACACACTCCTTTCAAGTCCAGTTTTCCTTAAGATGCGAATACCCCCTCTCTCTTTAGAGATCTGATAGGTCTAACCATGACTAAGGCAAGGCTTTTTCCATATATATAAAATCAGAGGATCAGCCAAAAGGTATTCTAATAATAAAAACCATTTCTCTACTGCACAAATAGAGCAGAGGAATGCTAAGCCTCCAGTATAGCAGAGATGTGCAAGACCTGCTAAAACCCACAGGATTTTCAAAAGGGGATTTGAGCATCATTGTTCCCAATGAGCAAGTGCAGAGGCAGGTGTGACACTCAGTCACCTCTGGTTAGCTATTATGGACTTCTTGAAATTCCATTTTAGCTGTGCATTTCTGCTCCTGTGAATCCAACAGAGGCTGCTCCCTCCCCATTGGTAGGCTCAAAAGACAGAAATTGGAAAAAGGAACAAAGCAGGGAACTTGCACAGCACAAAGAAACAGATACCGTATGTGGAGCAGCTTCTGAGACAAATTAGGACTCCCACCAACAGAACCAAATTGCTTCCTCTCTCCCTACTTTAATATACCTTCCAAGAAGGATCATTGCATTATAGTGTTTTTATACAGAAACAGAAGAAAAGCAGTATGTGAGTTTGTGAACAGTTTGTGGCTGACATGTCAAGCTGCACTGAAGAAGGGGAATCCTCCTGCTAAATTCTCTCATTAAATTGCCCAAACACAAATCAAACCCTCTTAGCCAGTTCTCATTTATTGCTATAAAGCCAAGTACCTGCATTCTGAGGGCCAGATCAGCATTTTCCCAGCTCTTGCTGAAGCAAGCAGTCTGTGAGAGAATGAGAAACAGCACCCTGGTGAGAGTCTCTGTGCCACATCCCTGAGTCAGTACAGACATCTTCAGGAAGCCGGGGCTTCTCTTCAGCAACAACAGCTTGATTAGGAATCCTCTCTGCTCTATTCTTTCCAGCATAGGAGCTGCAAGGTTCATAATCATATATATTTGCCTTTTCTTGCACCTCCTAACCAATATTCACTTTAACACCAGCGCAGAGCTATCAGGAACCTAATTATGTCTGACTTAAAAATCACACCATGATTTTAGCTAACTCTAACTAGCCAGCTGCTACTCTTTTCTCCAGCACTGGAGAAGCTCTCTGGACTGTGAAGACAAAGAGCTTGTTAACACATACAGCAGAGAGGTTTCAGTGCAAAGATACAGACGGTCCATGAAAACAGAGAAGCAATCTGCACTTTAAGTCTGTCACGTTGTCCACCAGCCTGGACTATGCTAATCACATCTCCCAGTGTGCTGTAAGAGCTGTCACTGCCAGACTGCACTTAATCACCATTCTTGCAGCAGCGAACAGAGTTCATCTTTTTCCCTTTAATAAGAGCCATTACATCATTCTCCAGCATGGAAACTACGAAGTGGGAAGGTCAAAAAGTTCTTAATTAGAAGGATTTTTATTACTGTGATAGTTCCGTTCTAGCCTCGATAAGAGAGATCTGCAGTACAGGCAGCAAGAGCTGGAAGGCATCTTGGATATAGGAAGCACTGTTTGAAGCCTGTGAAAACAAAAATCAAAATACACACATGAATAATTACACTGCCAATCAGCTTTACTAACCACATACTCATTTCAAACAGCATTGATTAATGCACAGAAGAAACAGAAGCCTAGTGCTTGCTGGATTTTAAAGGCTTTATTCCAGAAACCAATTTAATATTAAGTTTTGCAGGGGATTTATGCCATTAGGCAAAAAAAGCAACTGGCTTAAAAACTCCCAAACAAGATCAGGTGCAATCCAAATGTAGGATACTGTTTTCAGTAACAGATGAATAGAGTTTATTTCTAAGTGAAGCATAACCACACTGTGGCAGGAAGGAAGGACACACCAACACGAAACACTCCTTTCCTACCACACTGCAGAGCTGTGCAAACATTGAGAACCAACTTAATGGCAATGAAGTGTTGGGACTCTTGCATGGCAATTTCTGAACTTGTCTAAGGTTTGACTTTGGACATTTAAATTCTAAAACTCCAGACTGCTGAATTCAATATGTGTCTTCTGATCCATGGTAACTGTCAGCTGACACCACATAAGGCTCACTCTTCACTGAGTAACTCATCTCCTGTGCAAATCAAGACATTTATTAAAACTTTCAAGTTATTAGACAGGTAAGCACAATTTTAGATCCTGGGTTAGAGAACTTGGCATGCATAAGGATACTGAAGTGGAAAGAACCAGCATATCTATTTTTAAACCATTAGCCTAAAGTTTTAACGTTAGCACAACTGACCTCCAAAAACACTCCAGTGATTAAGGGATTAAGCACATCTGCTTTCTCTTTGACCTGCAGAGATCAGACATATATTATCCTGATTGAAAATTTGATCACATTTCTTCAAGCAAGATAAAGCTAAATCCTCAGTAAGTTTAAAATCACCACTGCTCCCTTGACTAGAGCAAAGCTAAGCCACAAGCTAAGCTGCCCTGTAGCATGCAAATAAGGACACAGTAACCTGCATGTGCCCAACACAGATCGTGTATGAATACACACATCACATCTTCAAATGCACTGGGGACAAGTGGAGAATTCAGAGATAATGATACTCTTCAGTAACACCTGAGTGCTCTGGAAAATCCACAACAGGATCACAAAACTTATTTGCTTCTGTCTCCTTAGTACTGCCAGCCCTGACTCCCACCCCCACTCTGTGCCAGCCTGGATGCAGCAGGAGACACTCAAAAGCTCAGCACACAATCTGGGGAACACCAGCCTAGAAAATCAGTTCACAGGAAAAACACTGCACATGTAAACATGCAAAGACAAAATGCACTTCATGGCAAAGATCCCAAGGCTGTAATCAACCCACCACTTCTCATTCCTAGGAACTGTGGTGCAACTCTTACCCCTGCCGTTGTTAAGCATGTTGTAAACTCTTTAGAGAAAGCTGACAGTTCTTTACACAGCATGATTGTCATTCTGTGGAAGAAGGGAGGGAAAACTGTAAGTAAATACAGTCCTCAGGATGAACTTTCTTTTAGTGTTCCTCTAAAACATAAATGCCTTGTTTCTATGCTTATAAAATTAAAATTAAACCAAAACTGACATAGAGCATATAAACGGTGTATGAAGATTCAGAAACTCCCCAAATAAATTACAGAGGAGAAATAAATAATTAAAGCTGAAGAACTGAAGAACAGCATTTAGAGGACAGACACATCCATCCTGGAAGGAACAGTACTAACTTGCCTTTTTTTTTTTTTTTTTACTGGCAAGTGTCATTTTCTGAATTAGAAAGTGATGCATATTTCATACACACGCCAAGTATCTCCTGGGCAGTAATTGTACAGGCTCATGTATCTGGCATACTAAATGATTAACAAAGAGAGAATCAAGAATCACTTTTATACAACTGTTTTGTCATGTTTTAAATGTCTGTCTACTGACTAGCACAAGCTTAGGGCAAACATTCTTCTTGACTACATAAAGCTTTCAAGCAGGGTTTCCTGCTTCTTATCAAGAAATGTCTTTAAACTGGAAAGGGACAGCCGAGTTCTGCTGGAAGGCAGTGATGCCACCCATCACAAATCTGCCAAATTCACAAATCTGAACACCTGTGCAGAATTCAAGAGCCCTGCATTACATGGATTTGCAAAGAGTTATTAGACAGTTTAATCAGTAAGTAGGTAATTATATGCTATACATTTACTAAGAGGTGCACTCACTGTGAGAGGGACTTGGCTCTGTCTGTGGCTGTCACCTCCTGTTTCTGACCATACAGAAACAAAGCTGCAGTTTTGTGAAACATTTCAATGGAGCAGGCTGTCAGTTCTGCCAGGCTTCTTATGGCAAATGCATGAATATCCTGCAAGAGGGAAAAAGATTCCCTATACCATACAAAAACTATCAGCTTTTATTATTTAAAACAAGTCATTCACACAACATACTATCACTACACTGCCCTTTCAGACCTCAGAACGTGCACAGAAATAGAAACCCATAAACTCTGGGAATCACAACTGTAACTCAGCAGCCAGATAAACACTCTGCAGTCAGATATTCTCTTCCTTCATTACTCAGTTACCTCTACTGATTTTTTAGCATCCCGGTCATCATCTCTGGGTTCTGTTTCTTGGTTTTCTTCATTCTCTTTTTCTTCTTTAGGAAGACTACTGTTGAATTGTGCTATCCATTCATGAGCAGATGTCCTCACCTGTATGAAGATGTGCCACAGTATTTAATGACTAGAATGAAGCCTCCCTGCACATCGAAAGACATAGAATATTAGATCTCTCTACAGGAAAGAAGAATCTACAACTCCTGAGCTTGTGAGAAGAACCAGGACGAATGATCCCCCAAACGATCTACAAAGTGCCTTCAGGACTTTGTAGAGAGTTGGCTGATGTAGTTGAGGGCAGTTATTTCTCTAGCACCAGGTGCTGGAGTTTACCAGCAAGACCAGACTATCAGAGGTGCTTTAAAAACATGTCTGCAGAATGCTGCTGCCACTTGGTGGATCTGAAGGGTAGTGAAATGAAGACAAGAAAGGTGATTCTTCCTCTCCTGAACATGGTAAAACCAGGTGCTTTGTACCAAGAGGAGGGCTTCAGCTCATGACTGCAGGTTATTTCACTGTGGTGGCTGAAGGCTGCTGCTCCTGGTTATCATTGCCACCACCCACAAGTGCCCAGTGACAGGGCAAAGACACGCTGGTGTCTACTGACTCAGAGCCAAAGACATGACAGACCAGGACTTTGTTCTATAAAGGAAAAGGCCCATCTCCTTTGCCTACCATTGTCAAAGGATCTAAAACATGTCTTGTTTTCACGCACTTGGTATTTTCATAAGCAAAGCAGTTCCTGTGGGGAATCTCTTCAGCTTTCAAAAGATGGGAAATAACTCACCATTATCAGTTTGTCTGGCTTAGAGGAGATGTGCAATTCTGAAAACAACTCTGTAACTTCTTTTGTGAACTCCCCATCTCCTAAAGGACAAGAAAGGTTAAAGAATCCACACAAACGACAGATTCAGGAATAAGCAGAACTTCAATGCACAACTAGTTCTGCACAAGTCTGTCAACTGTTTCCTTTATTTCTCTTTGAATCATCACCTCAGGCAAAAATGCATCAAAGCTAGTCTTTTCAAATACAATTTCTAAGGTAAGTTCTGTAAAGGTGGAGACATCACTGCCTGAAGGTTAGCTTTTGCCTTCTCAATTCTGGTTTTGTAGCTAAGGTAACTCCATTTTTTTTTATTTTTTAGTTTTCTACAGGCAGCCTTTTATAACACACTAACTTGCACATCACCTTGGAGAGTCTGAAATATCACTTAGAGCCTATGGTTCTCCTATTATATATGGCACAGCAGATGTGAGATCCATTATGTGCAAATATAAAGGATACATTAAATGTTGAACGATAGCAAGTGCAGGTGTGTAAGCCTTCCCTGATGAGCATTTAGGTAAAAGCAATGCAAGAAATTTACATTTAAATCCATGTAATCCTCAAGAATCAGAGCTCTTGTGTGTGAAGGCACCTCTGAGTCTTTTGGTCTGTGTGCTAACTCTCATTTAAAAAACAAATAAAAAGGCTTTTTGCTTTCCCACAGGTTGGACAATTCTATTCACAGTCTTTCCCTCCTGGTCAAGGAAACTCAGCATCTCTTTGAATTTGCCTCTTGGCTCAGGGTCAGTATGAACTGTCCAGGAGTCAAACAGCTCCAATCCTGCTCTGGCAATAAATCGTTCCTGCTACAGAATTACTGTACCTTTTGGTACAGAATGACTGCACAGCAGCTTTCCAGAAATGAAGGGTGTTGCTACCTGTCATGCCCCTGGTCACAAATGGCTTTAGGATTAAGCATCCAGCTAAAGAATAACTTAACTTTGGCATCATGCCCACTGCTAGTGATCAGGGCTGGTTGGCTCTGCACTTAGAATTTCAGTGAGAACCAGCTTCTCTCCTCCCAGAACCTGGGACTCTCTTACCCTTCTTTTCTTCCTCTTCTTCTTCAAAGAATTCAGGTAAAGAAAATGCTTCTTTGAGTTGTTCCATTTCCTCCTTCAGTGTGTCCAACTCCTCTCCAGAGAGGGCATTTAGAACCGATTTCACCTAATTAGGGGCAGCACAGGCAAAGAGAATCATAAATCCATCCAGTAGGACAGAAAATGCAGCACTAGTTTACAGTGCATGTAAAAGCATGACAGATTGATGGTAATGAGAAAAGGGTATGTTCCTACAGAAAGGAGGAAAGGGAAAAAGACCTATTTGTGAAGCCCCGATAGGTAATAACAGATTCTTAAGGAGTTACTCAGATTTCTTTCATAAAAAAAAAAGTGAATGACTTCTGAAATTGCATGCTCATCTGCCCTCCTCCTTGTCTCAAGACAGAGAGGACAATCTCTGCCGTGCTTACAACACTCTCCTCTTCTCCAGACCAAGGCAGCAAACAAGTGTGTAAGAGGAGAGTAACTTGTGAAAAGTTATTGAAGACATGCAGGACCTGAGGCTGGCTGGGTAAAGGGAATTGCATTAGGAGCTGAAGACAGGACAAACTGCTCCCAAGGTAAACATCAGATACTAATGCAGAGGTCCAAGCGAAGCTGTGTAATCACCATTTTATAGCAAGTTCTGAGCACTTGATTTTACATATATATACATATATTTCTAACCTTTTTTCTTTTTTTTTTTGTCTGCTCAGCTGAGCTCAAAATAGAAAGCAAAATGCTCAAGGCCATTACCTTTGATTCACTCTCTCTGGAAAGCATCTCTAAGGCCTCCAGATGCGAAAGACCCTGAAACTCATCAAACAGTAACCCATAATGGGCTTTCTTCTCCGTAGCCATGGTAACCTCGGTAGCTGTCTGCTGCTCTTCTTTCTCCTTTGCCTCTCGTAAGACCTGACAAAGAAAAGCAGAGGCCTCATGACAGTGTCAGAAGATACAGAATACAGGAGGAAAAGGCTTTTAGTTCAGTAGTTGATACGGTTGCTTAATGACAGGACCGCAAAAGAAGGGAGAAGAAATGAGAGAAACCAACTGATGGGGAACTGCCATACCTGAGATAACGTAGAGGTTCTGTTTATTAGGCCCTTTGTTTTTTTGAATCCAGGGTCTCCCTCAGCTATTACATCCATTGTCTTTTTTCCAATGAATTCCAAGGCATCCAGACCTCCACTAATAACAGTTTTTCCCTAGGAATCAGATTTGGATAAAGACAGCACGTAAAACTTGCAGAAGACTACACAGGGGAAGAAATTTAACTGGGGGATTTATATCAACGATGCGATGCCGGACACTCACATGAAAGCCAAGAGGGTCCTTGTCACCCTAAAATTCAACCCTAATAATCACAAAGAGAGCAGAAGGACATAGAAAGAGCCACAACATATTATCATCCAACAGTTTATTACAGCACCCAGACAGCTGCAGCAATCTGGTGGGAAATACATTTTTAGTTTGTGAATAAGCTGGTTCTTGGCACATTAAATTATTTAGTTCTCATCCTTCCAGTGAGAAAACACTAGACCTGTGGATTTTGGTTGCTAACTTTTGTTCAAGCCTTAAAAGAAGAAACAAGCTTTCCATCTGCAGCTCTTTCAGATTCACGGGCAAATTGACAAGACAGCAGATCACAAAAGCAGTTTCTAAGGGTAATGGCTTCCTTTGAAGTGCATTTCTCATGGTCACAGGAGCAAGCTGATTTCCAAGCAAATTGGGCTAGTTTCACAAAGGTTTTTGAAGAGGAGAATGGATTTCATCTGTAGACAGTTCTCTGGAAATCAGTGGAACTATTCCAGGAACGAGTCTGACCCTGCATTTACCTGAATACTCTAAAGGGAGCAGAGATGACAGAGTCCAGAGGTGCAGAGGTGAAACGCATGGAAATGCATCTCTGCACAGTCCACCATTAGCTTTTGTTGTTATGTATCAACATTTAATACAGAACTATCAAAATTCAACATGTCTTACACATTAGGTGTCAATTAGAAGCAACGTGCAGGATAAAGGTTGTCTGAAGGTTGGAACACTTTCTCACCATTCATCCCACAAATGTCAAAATTAGTTTCCTCTCACAATAGTTCAGATGAAAGGTCAAAACCCCAAAGCTCTCTTAAACCCATTTCCTCCCACATTCCCAACTCACTTACTGTGCTTTGGACAGCAGTAGAGATGGTTGATAAAACTTCAAGAGCCCCAGCAATAGGAAAGGAGCTGCCATCATCAGCTGCACCAGGATTCTCACTTCCTGCATTAGAAGGCAGAAAATTAGCTTCCTCACTTCCAAAAAAAGATCCTGTCAGCTGTAGAGTGGGGAAAATCAACAGACACAAACTGTCAGCCAGGAGCAGGTCTACAATTAGGATTATTTTCCTAACTACTTTTCAGAGGTAACACAACTAAGCAATAAATTATTATTTTAACTTATTATTGATCTCAATATGCAAGGTGCAAAGTAAGGTGGTGTTATTTGGGGGCTGATTCTGTTATGAAAAATATTTCAGAGTTGTTCTTATGCAGTAAAAACTGACCTCTTGTAGTATTTCCAGACTCTGAAGAGATTTCACTAGGACTGGGGATCCCAAGGGTTGTTTCTGCTTTTTCTATGACATTTGAAATACCCTGACCTAGAGAAGACAGAATTCAGAACAGAAACAGGATTAGAGCTGCATATTCTTTTTTATTATTCTGGATTCCTCCTGTTCAAAACAGTTTACTCAGCACTAAAACCACCTCCTATCCAGCTTGCCTACCAATGTAATGAACCAAGGTTTTATCTTAGCTTTTAAATCAGGTTGTAAATACTGGCTGAATACCAGTTTAAAATACCAGGTGAAAATTACACAAACGCCTTAAAAACTTGAAAGTAATTTGGCTGTGAATATCTCCTTAATCTCACTGTACCTTTTGGTACAAGCCTTCCCCATTACTCGAACAATTCTCTTGACATTTTTCCAATAATGGCTGCTATAACTGAAATCCCCTTCTCTGGAAACAAGCTCTAAAGCACTAGCTTGAGACACAAAACATGATTAAAATATTTATCAAACACCAGCAAGAGCCTTACCTACAGTAGCTACAGTAGCAGATGCAGTTGACAGGAGAGATTTCCCCCAACTTCCCCAGTAGCCCCACCCTGTCTGAACTGCAGGAGAATCTGAGACCTTTAATGAAGAAAAACAGAAGAGTGATGCAGGTATCATGGTGAGGAGAGGAGCAAAAGCAGTCTATGACGTGTGACTTTTGTGCAGCTTTTTCTTTTCAGAGAAACAGCAAATATGAATTTGCAGAGAGGAGTGGGGCTTATGCTCAGAATTCTCCCGTGCTCAAGGACATGAAGTCACATTATTCTGAGCAAGCACAGGAACATACCTTGGTGGTTTCAGCTGTGGGCTTTTCTGTGGCATCAGGCTGGCTTGGAGGCTTGGGCTCAGGTCTTTTCCGAGTCACAGGCACAGGCTCAAGCTCTTTCTCTCTCTCTTCATTGCTCTCAGAGCAGCCAAGTTCCTCTGCTTTCTGTTCATTTTCTTCCTCATGAGGGGTTTCTTCTTTCAGATTTTCACCACTGCCTTTCTCAGACATGACTAAGAACATCCACAGGAAGCAAAGCAGATTAAAAAATTACTCCCTTGTACACTTTGACACTAGTTCAACAGCATAGAATTTGTGTTTTAAATAATTAAACATCACAATGTTGCTACACATACCCACTTGCACAGATTATGTTTTTAGGCAAGTGTGTACACCAAATTACATCTGGCTATAAGAAATGTCATACTTGGAAGTTTAAAGTCCCACAGGAACACGTGGTTTTATCTGACTGACACGCCCTCTCTGCAGGAAAAAAAACAGGTTGCTAATTCTGAAAAACAAATGAAGGTACAAAAGGTCCTCAGATAATGTAAATCCATGACTTGCTCCACCAAAATAAAAGCGAAAACAAACTGCTTGGGACGGCTGCTTTGAGGAGTGTAGGATATAAATGGGGACAGCTGTCAGAGAGCTGAGCAGGTAGGGAGGCAGTGACTGGGTCACTTCTGTATTTGGGTCTGAGTTTTGCCAGGGCATTAACGCCCCCAGAACCTGAAATGCGCTCCAGGTGCCACCCTGACATCGCACATCGGAGATGGGCAGCCCACGATAGCGGGGCTGCCACGCTGCTCCCGGGCCGACCCGTCCCTCCTCCGGGCTTCTCCGGCAGCACCTCACCAGCTCCGGAGGAGGAGACCCGCAGGCAGGGCCCGGCCGAGCCCCCCGGTACCACACCGGCTGTCACCCCCCGAATCAGTCCGGGCACACGGGGGGCGCGATGGCTTCAAGCGAAGGGCAGGGACAGCCCTGCGGGAAGGGCGGCTCCGGGTGCGGGCTGGGGACCCCCCACACCTGTCCAGGACCCTCCACAGCGGTCACCGGGGCCCCGCTGCGACCCCCGGGGCCCGGGTTCCACGGCACCAGGGTCACCCCACCCGGGGAAGCCCCTGCGCCCCCAGTCTCATCTCTGGGGGTCTCCCTGTGCCTCCGCTTCCCCGGGACACCCCCAAAGCCCCATGACCCCCATACGGGGCTGACCCACGTGTCACCCTGACCCACCCAGGTTCCCCCAAGTCCCCCCGTGGAATTCTTGCCCCAGATGCCTCCAGCCCCCCATGGTACCGCCGGCCCCACAGGGGGCCCGCGAACGCCCCCGCCCCGTGGAGGCGCACGGAGAGCCCCTCGATCGCCCCGTGCCGCCCCCTCACCCTCGGCGGCTCCGGGCGGACCGTGACCAGCGAGGCCGGCGCGGAGCGGCCCCGGCGCTGCCCCGGAAGCGGCTCCGGCGCGGGGGAAGCGCGTCCGGTGGCGGGGCCGGCGGAGCTGCGGGACGGGCCGGGCCCGGCACCTCGTCCCGGTGAGAGCGGCGGGGCCGCCGGGGCTCCCCGGGCCGTGGCGGGGGCGGGGAGGTGGCGAGCCCGGGTCCCGACGCGCTGTTTTGGCGTGGAAATGGAGCGGCGGGGTGGGAATAGGGGCGGGTTTGGAGAGTAACGAAGGTGGTGAAGGGCCTTGAGAGAAGGCACAGGAGGAGCGGCTGAGGGCACTTGGTGAGTTCAGCCTGGAGGAGGCTGAGGGGAGACCTCATGGCAGTTACAACTTCCTTGTGAGGGGACGAGGAGGGGCAGCACCGATCTCTGCTGTGTGAGCCCTGACAAGACCCGAGGGAATGGGCTGAAGTTGTGTCAGGGGAGGTTCAGGCGGATACTGGAAAGAGGTTCTTCCCCCAGGGGGTGGTCGGGCACCGAACTGGCTGCCCAGGGCAGTGGTCACGGCCGCTCTGCCATCTGGCAGAGCTCAGGGAGCGTTCGGACAACACGCTCAGGCACAGGGTGTTGTTGGGGTGTCCCGTGCAGGGCTAAGGGACGGGCTCGATGGTCCTTGAGGGTCCCTTCCAGCTCAGGATATTCCGTGTTTCTGGCGTGACGTCGTGCCCCGGTGACGTCAGTCTGTGATGTCACTGTGACGTCACGCCGGTGTGTCCCGGTGCCCACGGCCGCAGTCTGGGTGGGTGTCCCGCTGCCTCCAGCGGCCCAGCAGGGGCAGGGATTTTCCACAAGCGAACTTGGAGCATGCAGGGCTGGGCTGCGGGGGCGGGGTTTCTGTTCAGTAGGATTTGGTGCCCGATCGTTTTTAGTTGACAGAGCAAAAAAAAACACCTATTTGGGTGCACAGCCAGTGCCACGTCCACGGCGAGTCACCCCCGTGACAGGGGTCAGGCAGCCAAGAGGCACACAGGGAAACACCACATCCCATCAAGTGCTAGGCTGGCCCTGGTCTCGTGTGGATTCGCTCCTTAGGTTGGATTTTGGGCTGTGGGTGCTGCTTTTCCCCTGCAGAGCCTTGGCTGGCGCCAGCAGAGGGTGACCCCTCCCTGTGCTCTCTCCTGCACTGGGAGCACCCGGAATGGCTTTTGTCAAGACCGTGCTGTCTATTTTCATAAACTTCCCAGGAGTTATTATGTGCAGGGCTCTGCCAAATGCATCTCCCTGGTTTGACAGAGGGTCAGAGGGGCCTTGCAAATGGTATTTCTGCAAGACATCACGCTGCAAGCAGAAAGGTGTGCTCCGTGCTGGAGCGATCCATTTGGATCCATCTACGTGCACTACTACCAATTAGCTTGCTGTGAGTGCCAAAACTCGTTTCCACATCGTGTGCCAGAAGTGTCGGTCAGTCAGAGCAGCCTGTACTCTGTCAGGTGTGTCTCAGTTTATTGCTCCACGTTACTCCAGGTATGGAATGATGTTATAAGGAGTGAATGTAAAGCCATATAACTCGCAACCTCTTGGGCCCCAATTTTGCAGTGCCATATAAATGTGTGTAATTTTAAGTACTACCAGTACTTCCACTGACCTCAGTGGGACTACTTAGAGTGCTCCAAGTTAAACACTAATACCCTTCTTCAGGGTAAGAGCCAAGGATGACTCATACAAGCTCATGCATCACAGATTTTTATCTTTCCACTGCTATTTGTTGTCACAACTTATGGTTTAATAAAGGTTAAATATGTTGAGCTCAGCTTCGGGTTCAGTTGTAAAATAGCCAGTTTCTATTCTCCACATTTCATCTTGCTTGAGCTTAACACTTTCTTGAGGAATTTTGATGTTGGCACTGATCACACTTTATCCTTTTTGGGTCCTTTATCAGCTCCAGCAGCTGTTTTGCATAAGTGCAGTGGTTGAAGAATATGGATTTTGCAAGTCATTTTATTGTTCCCAGCACTCAGCAGTGAGAGATCATTGTCTGCTTAGCAATAATGGCTTTTCCAAAAGACAAACAATTTCTAATAAATCAGACCTCGAAGAATTTAATAGTAAAATTAAATGACCCATCACCAATGGTTTATACATTATGCAGGCTCAGTGCAAGTATAGTGGAGAGCATATGCAATTACTGAAGATAATTATTCTTATGAGGGGAAATGTTGCTGAGTATTTCTTGTGTTAAATAATTGAGTGAGATTCCTAATGTCGTTTTAGGAGGAGCGTCACAGACACTTGGAAATCTAACAATTTAAATTTAATAATTTAAAATTTCAATAGCACAGGCAAAGTACAGGAGGCACTGGAATTATTCTCTAATAAATCTAAAATATCAGTTGGGAGGTTATTATTTTAGAAGACTGTGAGTTATTGTGTGCCTATGATTCGAGATTGAAGAGGAGGGTTTGTCTTTACTGCAAAGTTGTAACTGCATCGGGTGCTGTGAAGTCAGGTCTGATGCATGCAGAAGCCATTAAGTGCAGTGGCATTTTTAGCTGAAGGCAGCTGGGTCATGGGATGATGTCAGCTCAAGATCTGTGACTGCAGCGTCTCACTTGCCACCACAAGCTGTGACAGACTCTCAAACAGCAGCTCCAGCAATTCAAATGTCAGTGGTCCACAAACCACTCACAGACCACAGCCTGCCTGTAAGCAATCTGCACAAGGTTACCAAAATATGCAGGTCGGTTGTCAGCAGCCTTCTGAAGGCTCTAAAAGAAAGGTTAAAACCCCTCTTTCAAACAGAAGAATAGTTGTTGATCAAGAGCAACCTTAGTATTGGGTTCTTTTCAGACCTGTGCCATTGCTGTGGATGAGATGCTCTTCTCTAGAGGCAGCAGGACTCAGTAAACACTTTCCCCAAAGTGTAGTTGGTGAAAAATAGGAATGAAAGAGCCCTTGGTACTGTTTTTAACTGTTTAGCTGTGGGAAAGTAGCTTCTTCAGCACAATGGTATAATTGAGTTCTCAGCACTGGTCTCATCTTAAATGAAAGGACAAGAGGCATGATAGAAAACAGAGTGCAACCAATGATTAAAAAAAAAATAAGAGTGCAGATGAAGGGATTTCTGTTTACAGAGAAACAAGTAGGGAGCCTGTTTTCCAGTTTCTCTTGTGGGATTCAGTGGGTGAGTTGGTTAGTCAAGCTTGAAGGAGAGTTGGACACAGCTGTCTTCTTTGCCTTCTTTGTTAAACTGGTTTTGGCAATAGCTGCAACAGAATTGGAAATGGGTCAGATAACACATTTCTCATCAGATGTCAAGTCTGGAATCTGGTTTGACCTTCGACAAATTAACTGAAAAAAATTCCTACTCTGGATAGCATCTTATCAGCAGAATTTCCCCTTCTTGAATATGCCTGGATTTTCTCTGATAAAAGACAATTAGTACAAATCACCTGGCTTTATGTATATTTCATTATTTTTTATAAGTGGTTTAGGTAGTGATAACTAGTGATTCTGGAAGGATGAGAAGTGTCTGCATTATTTATTAAGAAAATGTGTTCCTTTCTGTTGTGATATTTATGAAATTCAGTTCTACAGCATCTGTTATTGGTAGAAGAAAGGCTGATAAATTTGAAGTCACACAGTCAATGGTATGAAGTGAGATATTCTTTAGGATAACATTTGGGCTTGTGGCTTCTGTACTTCATAATTTTTTTAGGGCTCTGGAGCAGTCTAGATGGAATTATAGCTTCAGGGAACACATATTGAATTCGAAGTTTTCTTGAATCAAGCTGCCAGAAAAATTGATTACAGATTTTCTTTTATCAGTGTCATCTCATTTTGTTACAAGTTGGTTTTATTCTGTCTTGTAAGAGAGGAAAATCCTTGTGTGCAAAAGACATAAAATTAAAGGCTGTATCCTAATGTCTTAAAATATCTTATGTGCGCATTAATTTGAAGATAATCTGTCCCTAGACAAAACAATTTTTCAATTTGCTATGAAGTTTGGGTAGAGAAGATGAGGAAGACTGCTGAGATATAGCATCATAAAGTAAAAGATTTTCAACAGGAGCTCATTGTAAAACAAACAAGAATAAAAAGAAGCAGACTTAGAAAATGCAGCAGGAGCAAGAGAGATTGCAAAAAAGGAAGTATATTGAGACATCAGTATCCTGACGGGCAGAAAGAGACTTCCTCTCTGTAGTGTTATAGCTGCCAAGAGTTTTCCTAAGAAATTATAAGCATATTATGTAGTATTTAGACATCTAACACTGATTGTGCCTCTAAAATCAAGTAAGTAGATGTATAAATGCTAAAAATCAGATGTGTGTGTGTGCTCTGGCTTTTTTCTGGATTGTAAATGAAAGACTGGATTTAGAAAACCAGGGCTTAAAAGCACTTTGATATTGGTGGGGAGGGAGGCAGAAATTACATCCTCTTTCTCACTTTTCTTCCTCTATTAAGAAAGCACTTCTAAAGATAATTATGCATTTCAAGCAGTCTGAACAATTTGTTCTTTTTTTAAAACCTCTTTCCCCTTAATGATTATTGTTCCTGAGATTATTTATTTGGTTGGGAAGATGAACATCTAGTGGACTGGAGGTTGGGCTAATTCCTTCTTACCCTCGTTTCATTACTATGTTCTGAGCAAAGCTCTGATTTGGAACCTCTCAGCTGACAGTTTGTATTATGCTAATCGAAATCTGTTTACTGGAAATGAAATTTGAATGTGCTGTAACCTTGCTGTCATTAATAAACTTACTGCTTTTTTTTCTTTCAGTCGGACTTCCAGTTTCCACTTCAAATATTGATGGTCTTGAAAGTGCATTTGGATTCAAGACCTTTTTCCATCACAGAACAAATCAAGAGCCTCCTCTCCTATCTCAGAGCAATACAGACAACTTAATATCGTATGACCTCGTTTCTCCAAATTAAATGAAAAAAGAATTTTCACTAGCTTTCCATGAAGCTCAGCTACTGCCTGTTAATTTTGACTGTTAGTGCTGATTTTTCAGTTGGATTGACAGTGGAAAATGTAGCTTTTAACAGGACAGTTGCTTTTGGGTCTTTCAATGCATCACTTCCTGCAGTGTCTCAAGCTTTAATAAGTTCTCCAGCACACCATGATATCATAGCCAAAGAGGGGACCAGTATTTTAATTGAATGTAAACTGAACATCAGCCAGTATGAACATATCCTTTGGTATAACTCCAGGGGACACCTGCTTGAACAGCAAGATGGTGAGTTTTCCTGCTGTTTTCTGTCTTGAAGTATTCCCCTTTTATACAGTATCTGAAAACCACTGGGGCTTTATTATAATTTTTTCTTCCTATCCTCCCATTTTTACAGTTGGGCGATAAGGAGAAAGCAAGACAAAACTCTTTACTTGTGAATTATACCTGAGCTCTTCTGTCCCAGTCCATCCATCCTGCTTTGGTGCCCCACAGAATCATTCAGTACAGAAGAAATGAGTTTGCATTTTACCAGACGCTAACTGATGTTTTTGTTTATTATTGCTCTGGTTTAGATTATATTTTTCCAAACACATGAATTAAACACAGTTGTCCACAACTTGTGACCTTTTCCAGCTGGCAGCCAGTGCTTTAATTTCATTACAAGATATTTTAAAGCATGGTAACTTAGTATATTTATTTTCTGGTTTAACCACCAGTGAGACAGTGGAAAGTAACTCAACGTGTAACGGCCAACAATGCAATACATGCTATTTAACCCTTTTGTACTGAGGGAGGACTATATTTTTTGAGCTATTGGCTCTTAGAGTTCTGTCCCTGTAGTTGTTAATTTAAGAAAAGTGTTTTAGAGATGCATGTGTTTTTCTCTATTAGTATTAATGAAGATCATCAAACTAATTGATAGGACTTGTTGGAGGCCATCTTTCTGCCTTAAGTATTCAGTAACCTTTTTGTAGTTATAATGCCATCTGGAGATTAGTTCAAAGTAGAGTAATTAGAAGAATAAGTTATGAAAATAGTTCAAAGTAGAGTAATTAGAAGAATGAGTTATGAAAACAGTTTCCCCCCTAAGTTATGAACGCACAGCAAATGCTGTATAAAGCTTCTCGTATTGATTTCTTTTTACTTGGGTTTTGTGTGTCAGCACTGCATGCTCAGCAGAAAACCATGTCTCAGGAAAGTCCTGGGTTCTTTTGCCAGCAGAGCCATTTACAGACTGATCTTTTTCATGGGTCGGTTGACTTTTGATTCTGAATGTATGGAAAATTAGACTTTATGGAGGACAGTCTTTTAAAAGAAGCCCAAGTTAAGAATTGGATTCCGTGTCAGAAAGAGCTGGCAGTCCAGAAGCACACTAGAGAGTGCAGATGAGAGAAGAAAGTAAAAAAGAAAGTAGGGAGCATGCAGTATAATTAACCATTAAGCAGTAGGATTGGTAAATGGCTTATGGCTTTCTGTATCACAAGCATGAAAAGGACATTGCAGTCCTTGGTGTACTGTTAGTGTTACGCTAGAAGTGGGCTGCTTAACTGCAAAGCTTTGACTCCAGTTGATGAAGCAAGCAGCACATGTGTAGTTTACCCAGTGATTTTGGTTTCATCAGCTTGGTTTATTTCTTTCCAATCTCCAGGTGACCGGTGGAGGATTGCTGATAATTCCCTTAACATCACAAAGGTCAGCTTTGCTGACCGGGGCCGATACACGTGTGCAGGCATTAACCATCAGGAGACCTTGTATTACACAGTCACTCTGAGGGTTATCTTCACCTCAGGAGACATGAGTATCTACTACATGATTGTGTGCCTCGTTGCCTTTGCCATCACCCTCATTTTGAACATAACCCGTCTGTGCATGATGAGCAGCCACCTCCGCAAGACAGAGAAGGCGATCAATGAGTTCTTCAGGACAGAAGGGGCTGAGAAGCTTCAGAAGGCTTTTGAAATAGCCAAGCGTATCCCTATCATTACATCTGCCAAAACACTGGAGCTGGCCAAAGTCACTCAGTTTAAGACCATGGAGTTTGCTCGGTACATCGAAGAGCTTGCCAGAAGCATTCCCCTCCCACCTCTGATCCTTAACTGCAGGGCGTTCATGGAGGAGATCTTCGAGGCTGTGCGAGTCGACGATCCCGATGAAGTCGGCAAGGAGGACAAGGAGTCCCAAGGCTGCGGTGCCCAGGCTGCGATATTCCCCATCAACCCGGAGATGAAGCGCAGCGATTCCCCAGCCGGGGATTCCGACGACGGTTCCATGAGCGAGCAGGGCCAGGAGATCGCCGTGCAGGTGTCCATCCACCCGCAGTCCGAGGTGCAGAGCATCGACACTGTTTCCCACGACAGCTGCCAGTTTGCGCCTTCTGAGGAAGGCACCTGCTGAGTCCAGCAATCCAAGGGGGTGAAGGAAGCTGGGGTGACCCAAGGATACTGTGAGAAAGGGGTCTGCAAACAAGCTGCCTCAGTCCCACGTGCACAACAGTTTTCCAAATTGCAAGATGCCAGAAATCTGTATTTCCTTTCAGTGTTGATCTAACGAGTTCAGTCTGTTAGAAGAGGCCACTTGGAACGTTGTGCGGGGGCTTTTCTTTTTAAAGCAGGCTTGTTATACTTAAAACAGTTCCTGCAAAACAGGAGTTCTTTGTCCTTGGCTCCTTGGTAGCTTCTGATACTTCTGATCTGTGTTAGAACTGGCCAAGCTGAGCAGTACAACTTGCAATAAGGTCTTTTCCTTTGTGAATTCTTTCTTTCTTCACAAAGTTGAGCCGAAATTCCTTTGAGTCAGTGTTGTCCCGGTGATTCAAGTTGTGTGCTCTTTTTGAGTTGCCTCTTGGTGCGTGCAGCCCATCACAACCATGGTGAGCTTGAACAAATCTGTTTTGTGTCCCGTGCTTCTATGTTGCTATCAAAATGTACTGTACTTAGGAAAAGTACCAGGGTCTGCTGCTGGATTAAACAAATTGCTGTAGTTTCAAAGCAGCTTAGAGAACAACGAGGGGGTCTCAGTTTTCCATGCATCTGCAGGAAACTTGTACATACTCTAGAAGCTTGTTGCTTAAACTTGGTGCTGATGCCAAAGCGCCTTACCCTGGTTCTGTCCCACAGAATGGAGCAGTAACAGCACTGCCAGCACTGCCTGGCTTTTGACTTTGCTGATTTCACTCACTACAGAAAAATCCAAAGTTTTATATTGTATTTGACATTGTTGTGAGAAATGAATGACAGTAATCACATAGTGGCATAACTAATAAATAAGTTCATCTATAGACAGGTGTCTCAGGCACTTCTTTCTGAGCATTTTAAATTCTGAGCATTATCATAAAGCAGGTAAAAAGTAGTGACACTTGCTCTGCTCTGGCTAGTACCGTCAGAAGACAGTGGCAGAGAGAGGGGGTGGTGGAGGGACTGGCTGAGCTGTTTGCCAGCCCGTGTTTACAGGTGTGGAGTTTACAGGGTGTAGCCCAGCCTTATCCACTGAAGAGGGTGGCGGAAGGGAGAGGTGCCGGTGCTGACATACGTACACACACAAGTACTTCACCGAGGATCTCCCACGTGGCTTCTTCAGCTGTAGAGATCCAGCCTCCAGGAATCAGAGTGCACACAAGAATCTAGTTTCTTCTTTCACTCTTTGGTGCTGTTTTTTTTTCCTCCTTAACATTTGTAAGTTGCATCACTTAAATAGCATTTTCTATCCTGTTGAGATTTAGTAGATGTAAAGCTTGTAAGCACTCCACAAATTAATTTCTTACAACTACTGGAAGCGTATTGCCATATAATTTTAACAACTTGGCAACAGGAGCACCATTTAATTTCCCACAACTCTTTTTTCTTTCCTTATTATTACAGAAATGTCAGTTGAACAAGTGATTCTGGACGGCTGCTCAGGATTCTTGAGAGGATTTGACATTAGATTTACAAGAGTAGAGGTAGAAAACAAGCAGGCAGAGTGGTAATAGCAGGGTGGGGCCATCTATGGTTATTCACGCTCTGAACGAATTATAGTTATCATATCATATCAGAGAGGGGGAAATGACAGCATCTGTTACCATTTTAAACTACCTTCTGGGGAAAGTCCTGCAGTCAGCCACCAGTAAATGCACCCTAGTTGCCTTCGGCCTGTCGGGTAAGAGTGGTGTTTGTCAGGAAGGAAGGAAATTGGTAGCCTTGGTTATAGTAGCATTCCCACCAGCTTGGTGCCATTTCCCAGATTGTAGCAAACTTTAGCTGCTTCAGGGGAATAAAGCCTTCTGTAGACACTTAGAGTAGCTACTGCCCTCAACAGTAACTTCTTTTTTGCTTCCATAGTTCGATGGCACTTTATGTCCAGGTGAAAAGTTTGTATAGTTTTGTGTAACCTGTCTGGTTTCTTTAAGTTCTTCGAGGTGATCAGTGTTAAAAAATACTCTGTGGATAAATACCTAGTTCTCTCAGAAGCCCTGCTAAGATGCCACTGGCTTGACTTCTGTACTACAACGAGTTCTGCAGGTTTGTTGCAGGTTTGTTTGTGGGTGGAGATTTGGGGGTTTGCACCCTCTCGGATGTCCTACTCAAAAGACGTGAAGGCTACAAGAGAATGACTTGTTTCAGTCTCCTTTGTGCCACAGGCCGTCAGAATTGTACCTGCACCTGCCTTATTTCCCATAAGCAGCTCTCCTTGCTTCTGTGAAACTGTTGCATGATACGCAGCAGTGGCACGTTGCATATTTAGCCCCAAACTACACACACACGATGAGAGATGCCACTACAAAATCTGGGGTCCATTTAACTGCTTCCTAAGAAGCAGTTATGACTGACAGATGTCTCATCAGAAGTGGCAGCCGAATGACACTGGAGGTGTGTCAGATGGGTGTCAGGAGAGCAGTTTCTAGATTAATTTGATCCGTTCTTTGATTTTTGTACTTTACATACCTTCAAGTTCTTACTAAGCACAGTTGCCTGGTGTCTTTGTGTGTCCTGTTGCTGTTGGAGAGGAATAAAGGTGCATAAAGGTCCTCAGAAATGCAGTTGCAGTGTCAATTGCTGGATAGCAAAGCAAAGAGTTTTCCTCAGTTATTACAGTATTTTGTTCATTAAATTAATTTCATTCCTGGAAAAGAGGTTTTGTAAGGATTTCAGTATATCAGGAGTACTTACTGCATGTAGGAACTGATCCTACTCCCACTGAATTCAATTAGAGCAGATTTGGAGCTCTGGTGTATTTTACAGGATTTTTATGCATCTCAAGCAAGGATGATGGTGATGTTATACAGTAAAAGTGATTGCCAGAGAATGAAATTTGACGCTGGTTTCCAAAGAACTTGTGAACTATTCTTGTTATCCTGAGAGTAGATATGTGCACTTAAATTTCTTTGATGAATCTAACTAACATTAACGTTGAAAGTGTTTCTCTCTTAACTTTTTGTAGGATGAGGAAAGTCTGCTGTGGTTTCTTTGCTTTAAACTAAAGTCTTTGACAATCACAAGGCTATTTTTTCTCTTCTTTGTGACTTACTTTTATTTTAAATAACATCAAATCTACTTGTTATCTAAGAGTACCTAAAACTAACTGTGTAGTGATTATTTGTATTACCTGGATTGTAATGTAACTGTTTAATGTAACTACGTAGGCTTTCATACTTTCATAAAATGAACTGGTAGATTTTCAAAATAAATTAAAAAGAAAAACCTTGTTTGGGTGGAATTTTCTGTTTTACAAGTAAGGAGTGCCTGTCTCTCCAAGGCTAAGTAGCAGCTGTGTGGAGCTCAGCAGAATGTTTGTTAGTCATCCCTGACAAAGGTTGCTGGGATATTCAGTCATCTGATGGACCATTCCTGCTATGACATCTTTGTGTCTGTCATTTTTTTTATGTCTCAAGTCCCCAACAACATCTGTAATAATTGTTCCCAGCTGCATAAATGAACAGTTTACAGACATGAAATGGTTTCAGGAAGGTCTGTGTGTTCTTGATTTCACACTGTGAAGTGCAGTGACTTTCAGCTACAAACCTGTATTGCCCTTACTTTTTTCACATGGGAAGGGGCATCCCACTGCATTTTGGTGGCCAGGCTTGCGTTCCTGATCTCTTTCCAATCAATTCAGAGTATTAAACTCTGCCAGGGGATGATCCCGAGGGTCACCCATCACCACTGGTTAAACTGGGAAGCTGTATTTCCAACATGAGCATCTGATACTGCCTGTCTTCTGTGTGGGCATGTCTTCTGTGTGGGCATTCTGTGTCTTCTGTGTGGGCATGTCCTGCAGCTCAGTGCCAGCCTGAAACACAAAGTGCCCTTGGTTAAGTTTTAACTGCATTCCCCCACCCCAGACACCAAAAATCCAGCTTGCCCTGAGTTACAGAGAAACCCTCTGTAACACAGTCAGTGGGGCTGTGCAAGTGTGAATGAGAGCAGATTTCACCCACATTGTTTTTAAAGAATAGTTTCTGGTTGCCAGTGTCTGCACAAGGCAGGTAATGTAATTAAAGCTGAATCTTGGGGATTTTCCCATGAGAATCAGCTGCTTAAAGGAAGAATTATTGGGCCCATACTCCTCAGGCTAGGTCAATATTCAGTCAGCATCTGCTTTCTGTCTCCTTGTTATGAGAGATACATGAATGATAAAGGTTCAATTTTTTAAAGCTCCTGTAACCTGACCCCTCATGATCCTATCCACAGTGAACAAATTCATCTGCATCCATTTAAAGCACTTTTCCATCTGGTAACAACAGATCACTGAAAAGGGAGCTGCATTAAGGATGATTGTACTTTAATTTTAGGTGCGCTCCTTAAAAAAAAATACATTTTTTCTTAATGTTGCAGCACTTTTGTGCACCAAGTCTCCAGCTGGAGACACAGTGAAGACACCACGGTGTCATTCAGCTCAGGCAAGTTACAGCTTTATTGACTTTTCACTGAGCCAGGTCATTTCACACCAGCTGGGTCTCTCTCCTCTCCTCTTCTTTTATTGTATAGCGGCTCATTTGGATGTCTCCAAATACTGCCAGCTTTTCTGCATGTGGAAGTGAGAATTACACCATCATTCAAAAAAAAATTGTTCTGCTAGATGTTCAAATATCAAAAAAGCTTCAAAAGCTGGAAAGTTGTGCTTTATCCCTGGTAAGACAATGCCTATTCTTTGGTCACGCCTGGATGCCAATGAGCGTAATAATACTGAGCAATTAGGCCTTTCATTTTCGTTAGGCTAATTAATTGTTTGCACAGTGCCCTGAATATGGAATCATTTTCCTTTGGAAAGGATAAAAGGATTAGAATGGCTTTATCCCAAGTTGCTCAGAACGTGTTTTATTTGTTTAATGGGAGAAAAATTCTCTCTCGCCCCAAATGCAAACCACACACTCGAGCGTTACGGCTGCACTGGGACGTTTCCATCAGCGGAGATGCACACGGATCCACATATGTCCATCCATCTGCAGCCACGCTCCATATGGGATCTGGGGGCTCTGTTGCATGTCAATGAGCCTGCAGAGGCTGGAGTCACGGTCGTGTGTGCTGCTGGGTTTGGATGTCAGCCGTGGTCAGACGCTGGAGAGGGATGAACACGCCCCTTGGGGTTCAGCACCGTGATCATGGCGGGTATAAATGCACTGGAGACTGTCTCAAGAGGTTTGTACTAAGTAAATCAAAGGCAAATGAAAGCTGGGCTGGGATTTTGTGAAGAAGGGACCCAGTGGACACAATTTTGCAGAGGCTACTGCCAGCTCTTTTTTATGTTTGTTCTATTTGGTGCCTCTTTGTACTACCATGTTATTAAATATATATTTCATATTAAATGGCTCCAAGTGTAACACAAGCTTGCAGAAAGGCATTTCAGTGGAAAGTGGGGGGACGTGTTCAGCTTTAAGTTTAAGGGACAGGCTGCCATCACACAAACTTCCAGTGAAGGAGTTGGAGATAGCTAGCTGGAGTTCTTGTCTTTCCTTCCCTTCTCCCTGCTCTGCTGCAAGGCCTGTTATGGACCATCTTGCAAGAGCTGAAAGTGAAAATTTTGTCCCGTGCTACTTTCTCTTCCTTTAAAGATCAGGACACTGAGAACAGCTCTGGGTATGAAGGAAGCATGAGAAGCCACCCAGGACGTACTCTCAGCCATAGATGTCTGTTCTGTCTTAAAAACAGCCACTGGCAGAGATGCATGAAAGGAACTGGAAGGTGGCATAAAGCAGGGACCATACTTGACCTTATGTGCCTGCTGTGCCTGAATAGGTCACTCTGTGCTCAGGCAAAGCCTGCAGAATTTAACTGAAAGTCAAATTCATTTTGTTTATTTGATGCCTGAATGTCTGAATGTTGCTTCTTGGGCATTGGACCTTCTTGTTGTCTAACTGTGCTGGGTCATGGAAATGCCCCTGATACCAGTGCTGGCAGCCAGCAGTCCCTGCCCCTCTTCATGTCAAATGGGTAACTCCAGTATTTTGGGTGATTGCTTTGTATTTATATGTGGTAGAAAACAGACCCTGCAAAGCACACAAGCCTGTTTCACCATTATCTGAAGATATTTTCAGGATTTCACTTACTTTCCCTCCTTGGTGTCTTCACTTCCCTGCATGGAAATATTCAGAGTATCTCAGAGTATCTCGTCTGATCAATGGGAGAATCCCAAGTTTTCTTTGTTTTTTTTTTTTCACCTTCTGTGAGGTTTTCTCAAGCTTAACTCTCCTAAATAATGACTAGGGAGGAAGACAGTAGACCAGAACAGACATGAAGGAGTTTGGACAACTGTCCTAAATTAGAGGACAGGTTTGCTTTGGAAATCCTATATGCATCACAATCCGTTATAGAGAGCTGGCTTTAACAGCAAATCTCTTGCAGCAGGGTGTCACTTCACTTCCACAGACTACTTGAAATGCTTTATTAATTTGATGACCTCGTGGGCTCTCAGAAAAAGCCATTTCTCAGTGTTTTTGGGAAAGAGAACTTCTCTGAGCTAAAGGGACTGTTCTATTGCTCAGATTTATTGCTTGGCTGATTTAATTCACCATTCAAACATGATTTTTAGCTGCTGGGCAGAGGCCCTTGCAATGTTGAAACCAATTAACTGCTAGAACACTTTTTAGTAAGGCTGTTTTCTTACTGGGTTTGTTTTTTGGGTGGTTTGTTTTTTTTTTTTAATCCACAGAAATAAAGCAAACACAATCCTTGAAACACAGGTTGCATGGATACGGTATCAGCACAGACTCAGTGCTCAATGTCTCTTGTGTTACAAAGGAAGGAAGGCTGCTGGCTGTCCCTGCTGCCAACGTGACACTACACAAAGGTAAGATGAGAAAAGAGACAACATCTGAAGACAGAGGAAAGGAGGGGTGTCAGAGGCATGACAAAGCAAGGACTAGGAGAGCAGCAAGAGAGGTTTTGAATATATGCTCGGGATCCACGGCCATCAGAGACCTGAGCTGTGGACCTCGCAGGCAGGTGAAGGTCAGTGGCTCTGCAGCAGGGCAGTCCTTGCACCTTCCTCCCCTTCCTTCGTCCCCACCACGACTCTTGCAGCCTTGTATTTCTGAAAGAACCCTGAACTTCATACCTCAGGTCTTAAGGGTTGTGATGCCCGCTGTCAGGACCTCATCAAAGCCTTGTGAGGGAGAAGAAATAAGGGAAAGGGGAGTTTCTGTCAGGATGCATCTGGCTGGAGAAAGTTAAGTTACTGGTTGTTATCTCATCAGGGACTTCTGCTCATCAAAGTATTTCCTGGGAAAACTTTATAACACCTGTAATATTTAATGGTGTTGTCTAAAGATGGCATAAACAGGTCTAGAAGCTCAAGCAGAGACAAATTCAATGTCTGTGTACTTCTTCCTACAGTGTTTTGCAAAGCACTATTGCCCTGCTCCTTGCTCCAGCTCCATAGCTGTTAACTGAAAGCAGGGAATCCCCTCACTGGCTCCAGCAAGCTCCCCATCTGTCTTTGTTCCTGGCAGTTTGATTACCTTTATCATCATTTTTAAATGCAGAGCTTCAAATACCATTAGTGGTCACAGAGAATGGCATTTCTCTTGACATGCCTCAGCCACAGTGACCTCCTTGACTGGCAGCAGAGAGCACAGGTCATTCATCTTTCTCCTGTGAGTTTGGGTTTGGAGCATCAGCCCCAGCTGTCAATTCACCTCCATCTGATTGTCTTCTTCCCTGCATTTCATTTCAGATGTTTCCAGGATTTTCAGCCTTCTTCTGAAGCCTTAGGGTCTAGTTGCTCATCCCTGAAACATAAGAGTATAAAGCAGCATCTCTGGGTGTGTGATCAAGGAAATCTTTTATCACTTGACTTGCTCTGAACAGAGGGGAAAGTGCAGAGGATCAGCTGCATCTGGGAGAGGCCACCTGGGGGGAACTCCAAAGGGACCATGAGGTTTTCTGTCTGCTAGTTCTCTAGGTGAAGTAAGAGGACAATTGGTGAAGGTTTGTCATGGAGGGTGGTTGTATAAGAGAGAACAGAATTTGGTGTTTGGGAGAGTCTGAGATAGCACCTTGGGATAGGTTGTACTGATGAGCAGCCCCATCTCTTAGCTCTCAGCCAGAGCATGTTCCAGCATCCTCTGACCTGGAAAGGTGACCTTAGAGGCAGGACAGGACACAGTCAGGGTGTGAGGGGGACAGTGCTGAGGGCTGAGCAGGTATGGGGCCAATGGAGGGAGACCAATTCTCTTCAGTCCCTGACATTTCTCTATGTAGCAGTGA